TCAGGCCAAACGCCCGGCACGCCCTAAGAATTGGCCTTGGTGTGCGACAGGGAGAAGTTATCTATAAGGAGAAGGAATGGAGGGAGGAGGATGAGAAAGAAGAGGGAGGTGGATGAAGATGAGGAGCAGAGGGCAGTTCGATCGCGGCGGTCGCGGCGATCGCCACCAGCACGCGCCGTGGTCCTCCGCGAGGTCTTCGTCTCCGCCGCCGCCGCCGACCGCGCCCGCCCGACCCGACCCATCCGCCCGTTAGGGCGTCCCCGTGCCATCTCGATTATGCACCACACTTGAACTCCCGCCCGCCCGACCCGAACCGCATGTTAGGGTCCGCCCGCCCGACCCGACCCTCCCCGCCCGAGAGGGTCCGCCGACCCGACCCGACCCGACCCGCTCTTGCGTACCATCTCGATTATGCGCCACACTTCATGTCCCGCCCGCCCACCCGACCCGCCCGTTAGAGTCCGCCCGCCCGGCCCGACCCGACCCATCCGATAGGATCCACCCGCCTTTCCCGTCCCGACCCGCCCGTTTGGGTTCTCGCGTGCCATCTCGATTATGCACCATACTGTAATGTCCTGCCCGCCCGACCCGACCCGCCTCATAAGGTCCACCCGACCGACCCGACCCGACCCGCCCGTTAGGGTCCACCCGACCCGACCCGAACCGACCCGCCCGTTAGGGTTCTCGCGCGCTCGGTCGTGTATGCGCAACATTTTAATGTCCCGCCCGCCCGACCCGACCCGCCCGATAGGGTTCGCCCGCCCGACCCGACCCGCCCGTTAGGGTCCGCCCGCCCCACCCGATCCGACCCGCCCATTGGGGCTCTCGCATACCATCTCGATTATGCGCCATATTTTATTGTCCCGCCCGCCCCACCCGATCCGCTCGATAGAGTCCGCCCGCCCGACCCGACCCGACCCGACCCGCCCGTTAGTGTCCGCCCGCCCGACCCGACCCGACCCGCCCGTTACGATTCCCGCGTGTTCGGTCGTGTATGCGCAACAATTTAATGTCCCGCCCGCCGAACCCGACTCGCCCACTAGGGTCCGTCCGCCCGACCCGATCCGACCCGCCTGGTAAGGTCCGCCCACCCGACCCGACCCGACCCGCCTGTTATTGCATTCGCGTGCCATCTCGATCATGCACCAGTTTTTTTGCAAGCACTGACCGTACAATGCGGTTTCTGCGGAGTTGCCGGGCGGCGGCCGCCTTCAGCCATCATGGAACGTCAGCCCCACGACGCGGCTGGTCACCTACCAGCCGGCACTGCCGTGGTGCACGAGGGGGCAGCCTCTGCGGCCTCCCTTGGCGCACCTGGCGAGTTCTAGTCTGACAGTAGGATGCGCCCCACACTTAAGTGAAGCTCTGCGGTCCACTGGCAGATATAGGAACATCAAAATATGAAGGATACGTGTCTAAACTGAGTTCAAGGCAGCCGGGCCACCCCAAGCAGAGCGAGCAACAACCCAGGAAGGGCCAGAAGCGAGGTGCGGTTATCGAAGCGCCCCTCAGCGCCGACCACGGCGCGGGGTCCACGCGGCCATTTCAAGCAGAGGTCAAACGAGGCGACGTGCAACTAACAGCAAGACCTCTGCGAGAATATGCGCGTGAGATACTAGGGGCTACTCGACTACTTCTTGGCCAGGAACAGGGCGCCCCTCCCTTTGCCCTTGCCCTTGACCCCAAAGGCTATCTTAGAGACTTCCTTGGCGTACTTGGATCTGGGGCCGTGGTCCTCGCCAACCGTGAGGCCCAACTCGCGCAGGAGGCTGAAGGCCTGGAAGATGCCCCACATCTCCAGGAACAGGGGCGCGCGATTGGCTGCAAAGATCCACTTGCAATAGGCTGTGTCTTCGATGCCGTCGGGGTCCTCCGTGCGCACGGTGAAGCACCGCGCGGCCGCGATTGGGGCCCGCTCCGCCGAGCCGCCCACGTGCTTGAGCCACGAGAGCGCCTTATCGGCGGCCGCGCGCGCCTCGGCCCCTTGCTCGCCCTCCACGCGCGCGAGCACGGCCTCCCTGTGCTTCTCCATGTGGTTCGAAAGCCGGAACATCAGGGAGTTGAGCATCGCCGTCGGTTTCTTCCCGTAAGGGTGGCCTTTGTAGTCCTCGCCCGCCTCGTACGCGGCCTTGCGCGCGGTGGTTCCGGCCTCCTGGTACCGCTCTACCATGACCGCCATCTCCGCCATCAGAGGGTGCTCCACGGGCCCGGTCAGCACCACGTTTTCGTCTCGCATCTTCTGGGCCCTCTCGTCGTCCAGGGAAATCGTCAACCTCGATAGAGCCTCCAGCAGCCGCAGCTCCTTGGCCCGATTGCCCTTCGGATGCGGCACCCGGTCGCCCTCCCCGTCGTCCTCGTCCTCGTCCACGCGCTTGGCCTTCCCCGCGTCCTTGCCCTTGGCCTTTTCGGAGCCCTTCCGGCCCTTCTGCCCTGGGAAGTCGGGGACCTGCTGCCTGCCGGCCGCGGCCGCGGCCGCGCCCCCTCCCTCGATCTTGGCCGTCTTGCGCGGCGGGGACGAGATCGCCTCGAACATGACCACGTCCGAAGCTGGCGCGAGCGGCAGGTGCGTCGGGGGGTGCCAGACCCAGGCTCGAGCCGAGATCAACGCGGCGGGCAGCGCTGTCAAGAGCATCGGGGGCAGCCGGAACAGGGGCCATCATGCACCAGTGTAATGTCCCGCTCGTCCGACCTGACCCGCCCGTTAGGGTCCGCCCGCCCCACCCGTCCCCACCCGCCCGTTAGGGTTTTCGCGCGCTCGGTCGTGTATGCGCAACATTTTAATGTCCCGCCCGCCCGACCCGACTCGCCCGTTAGGGTCCTGCCGCCCGACCCGACCCGACCCGTTGGGTTCACGCGCGCTCGGTCGTGTATGCGCTACACTTTAATGTCCTGGCTGACCGACCCGACCCGACCCGCCCGTTAGGGTCCGCCCGCCCGACCCGACCCGTCCCGACCCGGTCGTTCGGGTCAGGCCGGTCGTTCGGGTCAGGCTGCTGGTCCACCTCGCTCTTTTCCTCCTCCTCCTCCTCCTCCTCCTCCTCCTCTTCCCGCTGCTACTCCCCCTCCTGCTGGTTCTGCTCTGCCTCTTTCCCGTCCTCGGATACCGAACGCCAGCGAAGCAAGCCCCGTCGAAGCGAGACTCTAGCGAAGCGAGCCCCAGCGAAACAAACTGTGGCGAAACGAGACTCCGGCGAATGGAGCCCCGCCGAAGCGAGACGGGCGAAGCGAGCCGTGCGAAGCAAACCCTGGAGAAGCGAGACGGGCGAAGCAAAGTTTGGAGAAGCGAAACGAGCGAAGCGAAACTCTGGCGAAGCGAGTCCGTACCGAGAGGATCAAGTTTGGATGAGGAGGAGGAGTTTCTTGAGGAAGCGTTTGGCGAGGAGGCGGAAAAGGACGAGGACGAGGACCACAGTAAACCGATGCTTCAACGGAACCTCCCGTCTCAAGCCATTTTTCAGACGTCCCTAAAGGATTTGCCCTTCACTTCAAGACTCGTCCCCTTCAGTTGCCAGCACCCTGCGGCTTGCCATTCAGTCGAAACCCCCTTTTTGGGTGAATCTAGCTTGTAAACAGGAATTCGCAAATCATTCATCCTACATGTCAGCGAGGTGTGCAGCGAGGACCCGCTGCAGAAATTTTGATCGCCCCATTCGTTCAGTCAGCTCTTGCACGAGTCTCCATGCATATGATCATGCTTCCGGGGAAGTGCCAACCGAGGGCCCCAGTGCGAAGAGGAGCCGCCCTCCACCCGTGCACCTCCTCCTCCTCCTCCTCCTGTACCATCTGTGTAAGTCCCTGGTCCTTGCATCTCACGAGCCGTCAAGCGAAATCCACCTTACAGAGGAACCGGACTTCATTTTTGTAGCGTTTGCCGACGTGTAAGACACATGTGCGCGGCGCGCGGCGATAACCCCGTTACGGAAACGATACGCCTTCCATCCTTGAAGCTGTTGCAAATTGTTTTGACGAGGGTGTTCGGTGCGAAGGCGATTTTGACAAAGGGAATGGTGTGAATCTTTGAATTAGTTGCACATGTTCCAAACGGAAACTCATTTTCAGTTTCCGTATGAAGAGGTTTTGTGCGCGGTGCGCAGACGAGAAGTGTATCCTGAAACCGCCCCGCCATCCATTTTCGAGGCTGCTGTACACTTTTAATATTAACGCGCACGGCGCTAAGGCAAACACTCCAATCAGGAAAGGGAGCAGACCTCCATCCTTGAAGCTTTTGAACACATTGAAGGTAAGTGTGCAAGGCGCTGCGACAACAGCTTCATTCTGAAAGCGGCCCACTCTCCACCATTGAAGCTTTTGCAATATTTTGAGTCGCATGTGCGCGGCACGAGAACGAGAGTTTCATGAAAAAATATATCGACTTTATCCTGCAACCGGCTGGATTTTGCAAGGACGAGTCTGGGCCGCGCTAAAGCGAGGACCCCATTTTGACAACGGTCCACCCTCTATCCTGGAGGCGGCTTCACACTTTTAAACGAATCTGGGCGCTGCTGTGGCGAGAGCTCTCTTTTGAACACGACCCGTCCTGAACATGCTGCATACTGAATGCTTCAGGATCATGACTGCTGCGGCGGTCTCAGGCGGAACGCTCGGCCTGCCCTACCCGCACGCCCAGCGGTGCGACGAGGAGGGAATCACTTGAGCGGAGACGGGAGGGGATCGGTGGGCGGGGGAGGCGAGGAGACCGCAGAGAGGGGACGCAGGACGCGAGGCCGGCGGTGGGTGGCGAGAGTTCGGGGGTTGGCCACCGACGGTCGGGGGCACTGGTAAGGGGGGGATGGGCATAGGGGGGGGGATGCATCGACCCCCAATCGCCCACTGATCGCTCGGCATCGCTCGGACGTGTGCATTTTTCCTTCGGCGAGGACCATCGAGGAGCATCCTTGATCATTTGGCGGAAGAACCACGCACGAAACCGAAAAAAGCACACGCAGTGGACGTCCGAGCGATGGCGAGATCGCGAGTGGGTGGGGGTGCGCCGCGGAGAGGCGATCGTCTGCAGCCTCTGCGGCGTCATGTTCCTCTCCCACTACTGGTACTCGAAGCCGATCCCGAAGATCAGGCCGATGGCGCCCCCGCCGCGCCCGCCATCGCCTCCACGTCCCACCTCCAGGTCGCCCTCGCCCTCGCCCTCCCCCACGCGTGCCACAATGGACCCGGACTTCCCCAAAAGTGCCCATCTCTTGTTGATGCGCAGTTGGAGAGAGGGAGCTGCGTACATTGGAGGAAAAGGTGGCCGATGAGCATGATGATGAGCTGGGGAGAAATCATGATGAGTAAGAAAGACGGGGACGAAACTCCCACTACGCCACGATTGCATGATCTGAATCTATTATACTCTCTTTCTCCCCTGACCCCGTTCAGAAGATAGCCGACCCGCTCCGCGTGTTGTTTTGACAGCCAGGATATCAGCATGTATTGTTCTTTCTTATTCTGTGTTGAACTCTGACTGTTTCCGGTGTTTGCAAAAGCATGCTGCCGTTGCAGCCTGGGCCTCATCTTAGTTTCAGCGCTCTGCTCTCGTCGCTCGGAATAGCACCCTCGCCACAACACGCTCTTCTGAATCCACGTCTTTCCTCCTCGCTGCCGCCCCCTCCGCCCCCTCCGCCCCCTCCGCCTCCCGGCTTCGCGGGGCGCCCTGCCGGCTGGCGCGCAGGGCAGCCGCCGCGGCCAGCAGCGCCGCGGGCCCCAGCACGGCCCGGGCGCGCGCCGCCTCCGCCAGGCCAGCCGCCGCGCCCTGCGACCCGGGGAAGCTGCGCCAGAGCGCGGCCCGCGCCCGCAGCCCGGCAGCGCGGGCTTCCACGTCGCCCTCGTTGCCCTCGCTGCCCTCGTTGCCCCTCGTTGGCCCTCGTTGCCCTCCTCGGTGCCCTCGTTGCCCTCGTTGCCCTCGTTGGCCCTCGTTGGCCCTCGTTGCGCAAGCCAGCCGTGTTGCCCTCGTTGCCCTCGCTGGCCCCGCCGGCGGCCGGCGCGCCGTCGCTGGCGGCTGCGCCGCGCCGCGGCGACCGCCGCGCCCTCGTCGCCGGCCATCGGCTTGCCGACGCAGCAACCCGCGGGCCGAGGGGCCCCGTTGACGCGGCGGCGTCGCCACTTCGCGGCCTGTCCCGCAGGCGCAGTCGGCGCTGTCCAGGTCGGCCCGGGCCCAGGCGGGCGCCCTGTTTCCCTTGTTCCTTTCTTCGCCCCCCATTTTCCCCCTCCCCATTCCCCCTCCTCGTCCTCCTCCTCCTCGTCCTCCTCCTCCTCGTCCTCCTCCTCGTCCTCGTCGTCCTCGTCCTCCTCCTCCTCCTCCTCCTCGTCCTCGTCCTCCTCGTCCTCGTCGTCGTCGTCCTCCTCCTCTTCTTCCTCCTCCTCCTCCTCCCCGTCCTCGTTCACCTCCTCCTCCTCCTCTTCCTCCTCCTCCTCCTCATCATCATAATCATCATCATAATCCTCGTCCTCCCCCCTCTCCACCCCGTTTTTTTCCTCCTCGTTTTCCCCCTTCTCCTCGTGCTCTTCTTCCTTGCTCCCCCCCAGCCTAGAGGAACTGGGCGTGTTTCTTCTACGGCGCGTCGGCCGCCTTCGCAGTCGGCGGGCTGACGTTCTGGGTGCGCCCACCGCCCGTCTCCAGGGCGGCGGGGGGGCGGGGGTTTGGGGGGCAAGCTGGCCGTGCGCTCCATATTTCGTAGGTTGATAGACCTCCTACCCTGACGCGTCGATTAGCGAATTGGCCATTTTCGGTTCGCCAGAGGGCGTCACGGCCGTCATTCTTGCGGGTCCCGGTCCGTCGGTTTCGGTCCCAGGCCGTTTTCATTCAAGGGTGGTTTGCTAAAGGGAGGTTTGTCCACCGCCGAATATCTGCCGACCTGGTGTAGGCCTCACAGATGCAAGGTTCGAGCTACACGGTGCTCTGGCGGTTTCGTGGGCCGTTTTCGTTTTGGTTTTGTTTCGCAGCAGAGGCAGAATGGCGACACAACGAACGAGCACGACAACAAAACGAGCACGAAACTCACTGTTTAGCTCGAGCCCTGCCCAGATGGGCTCATAGTAGATGATTCGGAGGATCGGGCCGCATCGCCGATGCATCGGCGAGGCGGCTCGATGCGGAACCCGATTTTCTCCACGCCGACGGCGCCAATGCATCGCGGACGTCGCCGAAGCATCGAGCATGCGTCGGTGATGCAGCGCGACCCTCCGAGCCCTTCTACTCTGACCCCATCAAGGAGGCCTCCACTTTCCCCTCCGAACTGTCGTTTCTCATTGCGCTGATCATACGCAAGCGGGTGTCCTAGCGGACCTGGATCTTGAGAGTGATTTCATCGTCTGATGTTCAATCAGAAAGGCGCGCTCTGTGCAGTGGAGAATGATGTTGCAGATTAGCGCAATGATAAATTACCCCAGTTCGACCCTACCTAGAAGTTGGAGCCCCTAGGAAAGCAGCATTAGCTGCTATGCTATGCTATAGTATGCCATGATATGCTGCGCTATGCTATGCAATGCTATGCTATCCTGTGCTATGCTGCGATATGCCATGCTATGCTATGCTATTACATGTTGCGCTGTGTTATGCTATGCTATGCTATGATATGCTATGCTATGCTATGCTATGCTATACTATGCTGCGCTATGCTATGCTATGCCATGCTGCGCTGTGCTATGCTAAGCTATGCTATGCTATGATATGCTATGCTAAGCTGCGCCATGCTATGCCATGCTATGCTGTACTGACATATGCTGTGCTGTGCTGTGCTGCGCTATGCTATGCTATGCTATGCTATGCTGCGCTACGCTGTGCTATGCTGAGCTATGCTATGATGTGCTGTGCTGCGCTATGATAATGCTACGCTATGCTATGCTATGCTGTGCTCTGCTATGCTAAAACTCAGCGAAGCTAAGATGAAGGTAAGCTAAGCTAAGACACACCTGAGCTACGATGAAGCTACACTAAGCTAAGATGAAATAAGCAAAGCTAAGATGTGATGAGCAACGCTAAGCTAAGGGGACGTAACTGGGGGAACCGCGGGGCGGATCCTGGGGGAACCGCCCGGGGCGAGGACCACTGCCCGGCCCTTTAAGCTCTAAAGTAAGAACCATTCTAGGCAGAGCCTAGGTAGGGAACAAAAGGAAGAGAGAGATGAGGAAGGAGGAGGAGGAGGAGAGCGAGGAGGAGGAGGGCGAGGAGGAGCAGGAGGAGGAGGAGGAGAAGGAAGAGGATCAGCAGCAGGATCAGGAGCAGGAGGGGCTGGAGGTGCAGGAGCAACAGGGGAAGGCGGGAAACTGGAGAGGACGGGTGCGACAACGACGAGGAAGTCATCGGATCCGGAAGGACGGCCGGCTCTGGGGGGAGAGCGCCCGTCTGAACGACGGGATGAACGCCGCGATCCTACGAGGGGGCCAACACTGCAGCGGGGTCTCTCCATTTCGAACCAGAGCACGGAGGAAGTTCAGATGGAGCACGCCATGCCAACAGCACCTTTTTGAAATCTCATGCCGACACCACCTCTGTTTCCTATGTTTTTTTTTCACCGGTGCCCAACCCTTGGTAGCGAAACCGGGGCGTGCACGACACCCTTTTCAACCGACCAGGGGGTTGCTTTGACTGCGCAGGTGGCTGCGCATTGCTTTCCATTGATCCCGTGGTAGTTGGCCGTCGTGCTTCGTCATGCCTGCGCGTAGCGTCACATATTTGTTGCAGTCCCTGGCAGTGAACAGCTTAATCGCCGTGAAAATTGACAGCGAGTGCTGCCCGACGGCGACTTCATTCTTGCGCGAACACGAAAGTGCGGTCGCGCGAACACGAAAGCAGGCACGAACCGCCGCACGAACTGCCGCGCGACAGTAGGTGTGCTTTGTGCGAGCTCCAGCACGACATGCGCCACGAAATGCCGCACGAAGCTGTCCGCACGACATCGTTGCGCGCGGTGCCTGGCTTCGGGGGGGCGCCCGCAGGCGCGGCGGGGCGCTCGCAAACGAGTCCGGGGAAGCCATTTGGGGGGCCCTCAGGTGGCAACTCTGGAGCCACTTCGCGCGGGCAAATGTCGCGCGGGCAATTTTCTGAGGCGGGAGTGTATACATGACCACCACCTTGAGGGTCAGTCTTCGGAGCCTCGGCGGGCGGTGGGTACGGACATGTTCGGGCCCCCGGGGGCCGAAATACATTGATCCTCATCCACCGCCCGCTGGGGCACCAGGACGTCGTTTCCCAGGCGGTGGATGTGGAGCAATCCCCGCCTCGCAGCCCCCGCGGCTTTCCTCCCGGCCGCCCCTGCTTGCTGGCTGCCGCCGGCGAGCCGGGGTTGTGTGCTGCCGCGGCGGCGTCGCGGATGAGGCGCGCGGCGCTGCTGTAGCGCTGATGGTCGCAGCGCTGGCGCTCCGTGTGCACGTGGCAACTGAGGAGACGGCCCGCGTCCGCACCGTTGGCGGCGGGACGGGTGCCGCAGAGGACCACTTACGCGGCGCTGCCCGGGTTGCCAATGGCGATTGCGTGGCCCATCTCTGCCGTAGAGGGGGAGTGTGTGTGGTGTGAAAATGTCGACTAGACGTAAGAGTGACCTTTCGCCAGAGTGACCTTTGGTGCGGGCACAGATGGTTCCCCAGATGGCTAAAAACGACGCAGGAGCAACGGCTTGCGCGCCCAGGTTTGGCCCCCCCGCGGCCCCCGAAAAGCCGCGCACCAAAGGTCACTCTTACCCAGGGTCACTCCTGCGTGTAGTCGAAAATGGAGGTGCTGTCGACGATGTCCGCAAGTGCCTCGCATGCCGATGTCAACCGCGTTCGTTTCGCGACGGCCGCATCCACGGACGTCAGACCTTCAGGTTCGGACTCCCCCAAGCGAGGCCCATGCAATCCGAACGGCTGCGCGATACTTCCTCCAGGACTCCGATCGCCAGGTGCGCGACTCTGGAACTGTCGGAATTTATGGACTTCATTTCTATGGTTTGTAATTTCAGGTTTTTTTGTTGTGATTTCGAAATTCCAGAACCTCGTCTCGGAATTTCCAGGAATTTGGCTTGTACGCGAAACAGTGTCAGGTTAACATTCTGGACTTTCTGGAATCATGTTTTTGGCGATTCGGAATTTCTGAATTATTATGTTTGCGATTCGGAACTTCCAGAATCATTTTGCTTGCGATTCGATATTTGAGGGGTCGCTCGCTTGGCGATCGGACAATCTGGGGTAGGCATTTGCGACGTTGCTCAAATTTGATTGCGGCCGCTCGGGGGATTTAGAATCAGGTACGAGGTTGTTCGACGCGATCGTCGCAAGGCCAACGTAGTTGATATTCGCATGTCAGGCACTGGCAGATATATTCGGTAATATCGCCATTTCCAGCGTTGGCACTGGAAACCTTTATGCCACACCCCTATTCCACTGCAAAATGTCGTGCCGTCTTGTATTGCGTCTTCAAGGGATCAGCCTCCTGTGATCTTTTGAAACTCCCAAGCTTGCAGACCAACGCAGTGCGCGTGAGAAAAGCTGCCCCGCTCGGACTGCGTCCAGCGAGCGAGTGGAACCGTATCACTATGTCGTACAGTCCACCCACATAAGAAGGATAGCATCTTTCCCAAAGGTACCCTTGCATCCTTGCCTCCTCAGTCCATCCTTCGCCACTTTCGTTGGCCGCGCCCCGCTCGAAACGCTTCGAAATGGCCTTTTCAAGTCCCTCGCATCCTTATCGCGCATCCTGATGATACGGGCCGACTGTAATTGTGGAGGGACAAGGCTTCTGCTGCTGCCCGCCCCTCTCTCCTGCGCATCCCGTCTCCTCCTCCTCCTCCTCCTCCTCCTCCTCCTCCTCCTCCTCCTCCTCCTCCTCCTCCTCCTCCAGTGAACGCCGCCGCGCGCCCACCCCGAGAGTGGGCGGAGGGCGAGGAGGGGGAGGAGGCGAGGGGAAGGCTGTTGCTGATCGTCATCGCCATGGACAGGGCATTCTGGTTTCGGGAGGGCGAAACTGGCGCAATGTACAATGGATTTCTCGCTCGGGGAAGCGAATCATGTGTATTTGTTGGAGGATGCTGTTCTCGGGAGCGCGAACCGTGGGTAATTTGTTACGGATTGTTACGTCGGGGGCGCGATTCTGGTGTAACCTCTCAGGATTCTGGCCTCGGGGGCGCGAGTCCAGCGCAACCTACGGGGAATTACCATGTTGGGTTGTGATTATCATGTATTTTGTGTGCCCCAGGGCCCACCTGAACTTATGAACGCGCGAGTCGGGCGTGGTGGCCAGGGTGACTCCCCCCCCCTCGCGGACAGCGCGCATGTACAGCAGGAAATATAGAACGTCGCAGTATAGCATTGGTAATTCGAAACTAGAACTGGAGCAGGTTGCATGAAACCTCACCTCCACGGCCTGATGGCCCCACAAGGGGGCCGTCGGAGACCTCACGAGGTCACGAGCGAAGCTCTTCTTAGTAGGCTTGGGACCTGGGTGTACTGGCTGTACCTCCAATTGGACACTGTGTTGGAACATGCATTTTACAACGCTTCTGTATACGCCACTAGATTTTTAGGTGTTCCGGTCGCGTATGATAATTGTGCACAGCAACCCGCTTGGAGTTATATGTTCGCAGGTTTGTTGCAGTACGACTGAAGCCAGGTATGAAACTTA